CCGGGTCCGCTCGCGGTCGGTCTGCGGCTTTTCGGTAAACTGAGGGACATAGCGCGAGGTCGAGGCTGAACGGCTGCGCGTCGGGCTGTTGAAGGATTGGTGTTCTTTCTTTTCTGCGTCGTTGAGCTGGTATTTTATTAGGATGAAGGACGCGACGTATGCGACTATCGCTGGAAACGGACACGTCAGCCTACGCGGAGCATACGGAAATGGCCACGATAATTCGGTTAACAGCTTCTCGGCAACGAGGCTACTTAGAAGTCTCAAGTATTCCTGTGCTCAATACGGATCGTCCGAATTGTGTAGGAATGGACGCGAGTCTATATGTGAGCGTCTCGAAGTGACCCACACCCATAGGGGTCTATGCCGGGACCAGAATAGGTCCACGAGACGTACAAATATCTACCGCACTTCTGCAGCGAACACATGTATGGAGGGAAGTAAAGGAGAATGTTCCCATGGAACACGGATGCGACGCAGTTGTGCACCGTTGTTCGTGAGGACGCAAAGACAGGTACTCACAGGCGCAAACATGAAAGATGATTGCTCCTCCAAGACTCGCGTTGATGACCAAATCCCTGTGAGACCAGGCATGAAGATCGGTGCTCCGTGTGCCGGACGTAAGGGAGAAGAGCAGGCTGTCGATGCTGATGAAGAATGTAGTCTAGAATGCAACATGTCCAAAACCACCTCCCTCAGACCAGAAGCGTCGGGATTAGAAGCTCTCGAAACTCACGACTACGCCCTGTTTTTGTAGCCTATCCTCCCATAACTGGACGACAGCCATAAGGGCCTGTTTCATAGGGCCTTCTGGACTTGAGGAGCTTGCTGTGGGTGGTGCATTCTCAGCATTTCTGCCTAACTCGTGCGTCGCTACTCCCGGACTGACCTGGTGCGGCGGCAGCATTGACTCTGGTCTTGAACATGGTGGGGTAGACGGTCAAGGCGTAAGGGGCACCAACATTTGTATGTGACGCACAGAGAGTGAATAGCATACCGAACTAGTGCAAAGGATCATCCCGCCATGCTCCCACCCGATATTCGTCGGACGTAGTCCATCAGACAGAATCCAATTGTCATTGAGCACCGCGCTTTCTATCGTTGAGGCTCCCTGGCTGTATCATATCGGATCTAGATAGAGCCAGGCAGTTTCGCGGGCTCAGACAGCATCAGAAGAGAGCTAGACAAGTTGAGGAAAGCGCGTCGTGATGAGGAGCGGTGTAAAGGGCACGAGGCAGCAGAATGTGCTCTCCGCAGACATCGGATCGCAAATTTACACATTTTTCGCAGCTCCGCTGACCACGTTTTGGGCTTGATAACTGGTCGCCAAGCGATGATAGCCTACGTACGCGGCTTTCTTGACAAAATACAATCACTCAAATGAAGCCTCTTTCTAATCATACTGGGTCGTTGCAGTGGCATGACATCGCTGTCTGTCGAGATGTATCAGTACGGAAGGCTCCCTACTTCTGCGGCCAGTCTGACAGATTCTGGGCAATGACAGTCAACATCTCAGACGCTAGCTATAGGAAAAAAGGACGCGGCGATATAGACACGGCGATCACAACTACAGAGAACTTGTCCAGCATGAGTGAGTTAACGTTCTTCTTGACTACGACCATGGTAGCGTAGGCTAACACTGGTCCGATTACGGACGTCGTCGGGCAAGCCCAGTGGGTGTGTCCGAGCACCTCAACAATGTCTACACAATGGCGATGAGATCATCAACCATAAACTCCTTACAAACGCAGTACTCGTAGGCCCGACGCAAGCAAGCAAGAAAGTGCTAGACGGTGGGGGCGATTATTTGCCAATGGCGAGTGCCACTCACATCCAGCGACTGGGGCAGTGAGTGCGCCTCGGGTACAGCAAGTACGCTAGTCCGAGAAGTGGGTACTCAATACCAAGTGTCGGTGGAGCAGGACGTGAAACTCGTCATTCTAGCTCGCGAGAGTGGGACCTAGTACACAAAAAGGTCACTGACACCTGCTGGCGCCCGGATAACAATTGCACACGACCCAGAATACTTCAGTCCACAACCGACCGATAGCCATCAACGTCATTAGGTAACTATCCATGGAGCCCATCGTGAATCCGTTCGAACTCGGTCATGATCGGATCAAGCACCTCCGACTCCTGCAGCTGCTCGTCGAGTCCTATTCCAGACTGCGACCTTCGAACCTCGAGTGGAGGAAGAGGAACGATTTCCGCTTCTGGAGAGCGCGTGTCCGATCCCGCATCTCCTCCCTCGACCATTGTCCTGTCTCCTCCAACCTCCAGATGCAACAAGCGCGTGTCTGCGTTGATCGGCGACGGAGTGAACCGGATCTTGACCGTGAAATACTTGGTCGCGAGATTTCTGGCGCGGGGGTCAGAGGACCACCAAGGATCCGGCGGCGGGGAGAAGGCGAGATCGAGATCCCTCATGTGGTCCGGCCAACTACGGATGTGGTCGAGGGTGCAGTCGTGCGAGGGGGCGATGTCGAGGCGCGCTTGGCTCGCAGTGGGAGACCGGTTCTCGAAGCGGACGACATTCGCCCAGCGCGTCCCAGATGGGTACGTGCACCGCCCAACATTCAGAAGGAACGGGAAGGAATGATGCTTCGGATCAGCATAAAAGAGGAACGTGGCTGGGAGGGGGCCGGGCTGCGTCGGGCCCGAGCCCTGTCGGATGAGCTGGCCGGCATACTCCTTCAGTAGCCAGCGCGGAATGTAGAAGGACGTGTTGCGGTTGACGGGGATACGCTGGATAGTACGGTAGGGTGGCTGTAGGGCGCGGATATAGACATCTCTCCACTCGGCAACGACGTAACCTTTCGACATGTCGATCACCTTGTCGAGGTTCGGATCATCGTCCTCGTCGAGGGGCACCAGTCGAAGGGCCGCTTGTCTATCAAGGGTAGGGATGCCGGTGTCGTACAGAGAACCCAGCGGACTAGTGGCTTCAGAGCAAGTATGGAGGAGAAGACCGTATCTCTGGGTGCTCGATGAGCAGAACAGCACAGCGATGATGACCCTTGGTATCTTCGTCTCGATTACGGGTAGGTGCGCGCGGACACCATACGCGTTGTTGGAGAACGTAGGCACTGTGAGCGTCTTGCTCAAGCGCCACCTCGCGCTCGTGTTCTGTTATGGAAGAGTCAGAACAGGGTGCTAAGAGAAATCACCTGAGCAACAACTAACCTGTAGATGTGGCGTGAACACCACGTCGGCTGATGACCTGAAAGCAGACGGCCCCGATGCGAAGAGACACGACCCCTCAATATGACCGTGTACCATGGAAAGGTCGTCTTGAAGATTCCAAAGCAAATCTGGTAGTCGTTCGGATGGAGTACCCCATGCGAAGAGCGTTGTGTCCGTCGAGCGCCTCATGATCTCCTCCTGTAGCCTCTGAAACGCTTGTCGACCCTCGCCATAGAGTGTCGGCATATTGATCCTGAAAATGCCCATGAGACAGTACGCCTCGTCCTCCGGACGTGTCGTCTTCCGCTTCGCCGCCCACGACATGCGCGCCGCGATGCTGACCGACGACAACTCCATCTGCAGCCTAAGGACATTCACGGGGATGTTCGTGACCACCTGTAAGAGTTCCGCGAGGCCCGCTCTCGTGCCAAGAACCTTCCATTCCGACGAAAGAAATACGACGACGTCGGGCGCGATAAGCTCCTGGAGGGTCCATCCGCGCGTATGCCATTTGCTCTGACGGAACGCGCGGCTGCCGGCGGGATCGTTGGAGTAGCTGGGGACGTCCGCAAGGTACGCATAGCACGTCTCCGCGAGGGAGTACCACCGAAACATCGAGTTGATTGCTTCAGAGAGCTCCGCGCTGCTGGACTTGTCGATGCAACAGGTGTCGATCCAAACCCAGTCGTACCCGTGTTGCTCGGCGAGGATACAGAAGTTGCGGATCTTTGGGGAGGCGAAGTCGCGTGGGTTAAGACCCGTAGCAGTGTATCGATCCCGCAATGCTTGGACGTCCTGGAAGCTCTGCTCTACGTGATCCCAGACGTGCGACAGGATGGCGTATCCTCTCGGAACGTCGTTCGCGGTTGGAAAGAAATGTAGCTCAGCACGGTGCGTACTGAGCAGCCACATGGTGCGATGTAGTCGTAGAATTGTTTGATCGTCCTCTGCTGTGTCTGCCTGGGATCAAGAAGGGAGGTCAGAACGAGCGATCCTGGCCGATTCTGACGATGATGCCAATCTCGCATCAACTCTGGAAACACTTCCGGAAATATTCGGGGAGCAATGGTTCCGAGCTATTCAAGGCAAATCCGCCTACTCTGACCGTCCCTAGGGCAGGTTAGGGGACGATTCTGGCAGTGATTGTGAACTTCGTACCTACTCCAGAACGACTCGCGGATTGAGTCGGAAAGCGAGCGTCTGGAGTGATGCAAAGCAGCATAATTACTTTTGGCTCGGAACACTAGCGATTCTGCATCTGCTTTGGGGAGGAAATCGCTTGGAGAACCGCTGAGAGGTATCAGGACGGGAGAACCCCTCTGACGACTCTGGGCCCCGAATCAGACCGCAATCCATGTCAGAATTGCCCACCCTGACGTACCCTCTTGCAAAGCGTGATAGTCGGGGATATACAGACAATGACTCACGGATATTGCTCCGGCGAGGAAGTGGAGGTGGTGGTCGAGTCGTGCAAGTCCCGGAGAGTGGATTACATCCCACGGCTTTAGTGGTGACATGGAGAGCACAGCCTGCCTGTAGCTGCGGATTATGAACAGACTTACCACGCACAGCGCGCCTGGATGATGTCCTAGGCACGAGACTCACGAGGCACACGTAGTTCTCTAGATCGAACAACGCTCAGCAGTATATAGAGTCAGCCAGGTGATACAAGCGAGACTAGTACGTGTCACAATATCCAGTGAAGTTGAGAAAGAGGGTGGCAGCAAGATTTAGGCAGCAGCAGCGTCAACAACCGGACGCATAACTCAAGCGTCCAGCAGCGATGCCAGTTCGGGGCCACGGCTACCCACTTTCTCAAGGATGGACATACGCCAGTTGCTCGCCTCGTGAAGTCCTGCGGCCTTGATCATGATAGCATATCGTGACAGCGCGTCCGGCACGTCCACAGCGATGTCCAATAGGTTTGAAGCTGTCAAAGAAACTCCGTCTTTGAGCGCCTGGGCGGAGCATATTCGACCCTGTGCAGCATAGCGGAAGAAATACGCCATGACCTGAGAAAGCAAGAATGTGTCGGACTCCATGGCGCTAGACACTAGCCGATCCACGAGTCGACTATGGTAGCGTGGTGAAAGTTCGTGAAATACGTCTAGGGCCGCGCCGACGTCGTGGAGACCAGAGAGCGTAGCTGCGGCTTTTTCGATTCGTTCGCTTGCTTCTTTATGCGACATCCGAAGAGGGGCCATGATACAGCCGTGAACGATGGAGAGAGGGGAAGAGGTTGAGTAAGTGAGAGTATCTTCAGCGTGCTCGTCGTCTGCAAAGACAAATTCTTGAGATTCCTCTGCCTGTTCCTGAATCTGCGAGCTTCGGTCGAATTCCTCCACATCGTGCTTGCTATACCACTTGGTCAGGACGTTCTGGAGAAACTGCTGGTCGTCGTTCCGCTCCTTGTCACGCTTGCCGCCGAGTTGACTCCGGGTACGACCGCTGCTCGAGTGTCCGGGACCGCCCTGACTCGACGAGCGAACCATCGGAGGGGGACGTCCGAAAGGCATTCCGGCCTGAGTGCCCGACATGGACGTTGAGCGATTGGACGCAGCGAAGCGCTCTTCGCTTGACAGCTTCTGCGTAGGCGTAGAGAATTGGCCCATGGTGAAGGGGTTGACGGAGGGCTTGTTGAACCCAGATATACCGAGTCCGACGGAAGCTTGTCGGGAGGGTGGGGGCATCGCGGTAGAAGAGGAGCGACGGTCGTGCGAGCCACCGGGGATCAGAGCGAACCTCTGGTCAATGGGCTCGGGGCCGATTGCGTCAAGAGGAGGGAGAGAGTCAGGCTTTCCCTTGCAGACAGCCATGCACTGCAGCAAGAAATTGCGATTGTACCTTGAATGATGATGAATGTCAGCATCACCGTGTAACGCATGAAAGACAACACACGTACCGGAACTTGCTCTGCTTCGCGTTGATGTTGAGCTCAGGCTTCGGGCTCTTGACGCCCTCGGGGTATTGAATGCTCCCTATGTCTTCGATGATGAGCGCAGTGGTCAAAGCAGAGGGCAAAGCGGCGGGGATGCCCTGGTCCTTGGCGCCCGACAGGTCGAGCCGACCAGGGCGACGCTTGCCGTCCGAGGATGTGAGTGTGGTGTCGATGCGAAGCGGCACTTTGTCGGAGACTTGGTCCTTCGCTTCCTCCTTGGTTGCCTCGTCCGTGGCCTCCGCAGCCTGTTCCGAGTCCTGCAATTCACCCTCTGCAGGCCAGTCTTCGTCGCCTCTGCAGCAGCCGCGGCCACAGCAGCCTCAGCCTCAGCCTCGGATTTGGCCTTGGCCGTCTCCTCGGCTTCGCAGGCTGCACGCTCCTCCTCCTCCCTCTTCGCCTTCTCCTCGGCCTCTTTGCGTAACCGCACAGCCTCCTCCTCCTTGCACTTGCGTTCCCACTCTTGCTCCTCGCGTAATCGCTCCTTCTCCTCCTCCCGTCTTTGTTCCTTCTCCTCCTCTTCTCTCCGTACTCGCTCCTCACGCTTAGCCTTCTCCTCAGCCTTGCTCTTCGCCTTCTCCTCGGCCTCCTGCTTAGCCCTCACCTCAGCCTGCTTCTTCTCCTTCTCCGCTGCCTCCTCAGCTAGCTGCTTCTGCTTCGCCTCCTCAGTCTCCATCCGGATCTGGAAGGGCCTCCGCGCAGGCGAACTTGTGACAATGGGCGACAAGATGGGGCCCGGTGCTTGCCTCTTGAAAGGCTCGAGGTCGACCTCCTGCCCGGACTCGGATTTGACCACTACACGTTTCGGCGTGAAGGCATTGGCATTCGAGATCAGACGGGAGATACCATCACCGGGAGCATTGCTCTATGCAGGGGTCGAATGGGTCGACGAAGAAATACTGCTGAGACTAGCAGTGTGTGTGTGCGGAGAGGGGGTAGAATGAGGAGGGTGGGCGTTCGGGGGCAGAGCGGGTGTCAGCGTCGGAGTGCCTGGCGCGTGGAGTGGCGGCTGTTGTCCCCTCGGCGACATCGGTAGACCAGGTATAGGAGCCCCCGGTGGTCCCTGCGGTGGATGTGGTTGCGGCATGTGTTGCGGCATCCGCTGCGGCGGCGGGTACGGGTTGTAATTCGGGTCCATCGGCATCCCGGGGTAGTACTACACGTGCGTTCGTCAACGTCGTAATAGGCCGTATGTGATTTTGCGGAACAACTTACGTAGTAACCCCATTGTGGTACGGGCACGGGTGTGCCCGGTTGAGCGTGGGGAACAGGTTGCGGTTGACCACCGTGAGGTGGCCTCATCCGAGGGCTCGGCATGGCTGAAGGCATAGTGCCTGATGGAGGTCCACCTGGAAGTGCGGGTGGCCGCCCATTGACGTTGCCGTTAGGCATCTGGGGGGGGGGGGAGGCTGGGCGACCTTGGTGCCCCCGGACTCGCGATGGGCACGCTGTTCTGCTGCGGCCGGACGTTGCTATAAGGAGCGTCCATCTGCGAAGGCGGTGATTGATGCGGTGATTGTCCTTGCGAATTCAGCGAGGACTGCGGAAGCAACGTCGTGCGATGCGAGGGGGAGGCGGATACGGCAGAGGAGGTCGACAAGGCATCCGAGGTCTTGTTTAAGAAAAGACTTTCCACGTCGAACTTGGCGGCCTTTGGGGTATACGAAGAACCAGATGTCGACAGTGCGGTCGATGACGACGTTGAAGGCGGGGTCGATGACGATGACGAAGTCGACGCCGCTGCTGCAGCACCTGACGAAGGCGTCCCTGTCGAGAACGAGATCGTCCGCGCGTGGATTTTCCCGTTCGTGATCGCTGATGCCGACCGCAAAGTCTTGATCCCCTCTGACTTGATCGTCGGTGCGGCCGCGGGCGAAGACGAGATCGGTGCGTTGGTATCGTCGATGGACCCGAATGTCACCGATGAGCCTAGAAACGGGTGAGAACCTGGCCTCCCATGCTGTGCACGAGGGATCGACGACGCACCTGATCTTGACGCATTCGAAGGCGTACGTGCTGCTCCTACTCCATCCTTGAACGCTATGCCCCGTCCTAGTGTGCTCGGTCGTCTGAAGTGCTTGGGGGGTGCTGAAGAAGAGGTGACGGAAGGAGCGGGGGATTGCGATCTAGGCGACGGCGCTGTCCAAGTATTCGCTGGCGGGCCCCTTGCCCAAGCCGACTTTGACGGTGACTGGGACGTCTTTGGTGCAGCGGCTGTTGAGGATTTGCTCATTTCGGGCGGGAATGGGCTGGACACTGAGACGCAGGGACGAAGTTATGAAGCGAGGCCAAGGGTGAGCGCGCTTCAGAGCAACGGGGTTTGCTTCCTACCGCAGCACAGACCTTCAATCACATCGAATCATCGATCGGAGTGCAATCTGGAACACGGTGCTCATGGTCATGCAGATTTGCATAGGGCGCGGTGGAATAGGTCCGCCGGTGAGATTGACGGGCTAAACAGCACTACTGGGTCCCGGCGAGCTCGAGAGTTACAGGGGTAAATGACAGTGAATTACATCAGCGGTAAAATACAGTGAATAACGCATTAGAATGGTCAAATAGGTGTAACGTACACCAGTTGGACGGATCTTTGGCAGAAGATCGGCGCTAACAAAAGTCAGGCTTATTGAAGAAGCTGCCGCCTAGGGTTCTATCTGCAAAACCTCCGCCATACTCTGGACCCAACTCGTGCACCAATAGCTCGTAGTCTCATGCCAGACTTGTGCGCATGCAGGACACCCTGGACATCCGGCGTGCCTTCCGACGTGAAACACCTTGAGTCGACGACAATGGGTAATCTGTCTGCTGAGACCCTCAATCATTAGCAGATAAGATATGCAACATTACCGCCACACTGATTCAACTCTTGCGGGGCGAGGCGAGCACTTACTGTAATTTGGACCATAATGCCGCTGGTTTGATGCATATCAGACGATGCCTCACATGCGATATGGCTTGCGTCACATGAGCAGCGTTGAGAAGCTGATTGACACAAATTGACCCACCCATTTCGGGCGTCTGCAGATTTACCGGTAAATTACATGTAAATTACATATGCATAGGTCGATCTCGGAGTTTCACCGTGCCCTAGATTTGCCCCATACAGTCTTACCCGGGTCCTTTGGCCACCATGGGTCCTTTGGCCACTGAAGGATTTTCTGTCCCCACAGTAGAATCTCAACCTACATGTTAACCCAGTCAAGTAGATAATGGTTTTATGTATGTTATCCCAAAGTTCCGTAGCCTTTGCTGTTCAAACACATTACAAGACTATGTTTTAGTCCAAAAAACTGCTGTTTTGAATTATATTCCAGTGATCGCGGCTGATGTATTGCTCCGATAACTTCCATAGTTTCAGTAAATGTGAATAGGATATATCTAGCTTGTTTGAGACAAAGAACACTCTTATCGACATGCACTTCCCAGAAATATCAAATAAGTTCTCATCAACGGGACATATGAGATGCTATTAATCAGGCGCCGAGTCACACAACTCAGCGCTCCTCTGCTTTGCGTGCATCGAATGAAGGGCGGCGCTCGGGCGGCATTGCCTGATAAGATCATCTAT